CGATCAAGCAACAAATAGATATCATCGTTGAGCTTGCATATGTCAGTGAAACACCCCTGGCTCCGCTCATGTAGATAAAAATCAACTGCGGTCTTAGCCCAAAGGGTGTTATCCAGAATTGTGTCCGGTAGTTGTTTCCTCTCCACTTCAGATACCGGTATGGTACTGGCCGGTAACTCATACGAGAGCCAACTTGAATCCATCATGTCCGGCACGTCAGAGGGTTTCTCAAGAATCCTACATATGACGCCATGTGAATCGGGCCCTTGAATGGTGGGAGGGACCTCTTCAACGATGACAGTGGCCTCTTGAACGGTAGGAGGGGACTCTCGAGGAATGATAGGGGCCTCTTCAACGATAGGAGTGGACTCTTAAGGGATGACAGGTGAGTCAGACTTCTTCTTGCGGTGTCTTCGCACTATTGGGGTATACGGAGACTTAATAGCACGTGCACGCCGTCTGATGCGTGAACTCTGTCGTGCAAGAAAAACCCGACGTAAAGCATCCACCTTATCGGTTCGCTAAATAATTAAATACAAATATCAGTAAATACACATACATGATATTTAAACAGTGAAAACAAAGACAAATATATTTCAAACTTTCAACCAAAAGACAAAACAAAAACAAATACTAACTTCACAGTGTTAAAGAATACACAGTTTAGCAGAATTGGCAGCAACCGAATAAATTTACTTCAACCAAAAGTCAAAACAAAAAGACAAATACTAACTTCACAGTGTTAATAAACAGTTTAGCAGTATTGGCAGCAACCGAATAAATTTACTAAGCAATCTAAGTGAAATGGTTAATTTAAGTGAAATTACGAGTAAATTTATCATCAAGTTAAATATGGAAAATCTTAAACTTACCTCGTTGCATAGAGTATGAACCTCATTCTGCAACGATACTACCATCTCACGTAGAGCGGTAACCTCACCACGTAAAGTAGACACATCCACACGCCATGCACCATCGTTATCGCATAGAGTATCGATCTCCTCACGCAAGGCATTGATCTCATCACGTAACTCCCTTGACTCATCCCGTGGAGGTGGAGAACAGGGAGATAGAAGTCGTGGCATCTTTGCCGGTCGCCTATCATGAGGTGATGGTGGAGAAGAGGCTCGATGATGTGACGGGATAGGTGATGGCTCTCGTTGTAGAGGTGTATAGTCGGGTCGATCAGGTGATGGCTCTGGGTGAGGTGATGGCTCTCGAAGTGGAGAAAGTGGAGGCTGCTCATCATTCGTGCCATCAAGAAAACGATGACTAGCTTGCCACCAATCAGTGGCAAGCTCAGCCTCCGTGGGTGTCAGTCTCATTAATGGAATGTTGGCCTCCTAAAAATATAAAAACTCAAACAAAGTTAAACGTCTACTATTAATAACTTGTTTATATATGATAGTATTTGTGTTAACTTACATTATTTATTGTCGCATATGGTATTAAGTCTTCCCAATCCAACAGACGTTTCCTCTTCCAGGAAATAGCCCTGGGAATATCATTTGAAGTTTTTATTGCATATGTCTTCATGGCGGGAAAGGCCTCGAATATCCAAATCTACAAACAATATAATAACAAACATTAGTAATTGTTAAATAATTAATTATAATTTTGAAAACATTATATAGAAATTCTTACCTTAAAGGCCCAAACAAAGCCTGACAAAGTGTATTTCGACCCATCGCCCCGTAAACTTTTGCGGTCATCAAAGGCAGACGACAACTTAGTCCAGGTAACTTTCCATATATACGAACCCCACGGAAATAGATTCCATGCATTTAGGTCCTCTACCAATAATATTAGCTCCTGAGGAATAGGTTGTCTGGCCTCTCTGCCTAAAAAGTCGGCATACAAAAGTAGTAGAAGGCATACTCTGACAACATCGACGTCATTCATCTGAGTAAAACCATCTTTCTTATTAAACAATGTCTTCATGTCGTCGACGTGTAAGTTCGGCTTCTCTATTGACTCATCAGGAAAAACCCTGGATAACCATGATGGGCGGGTGATATGACGAGTGTACCGGCCTACATCATCGTGTCCGAATCGTAGACCAGTGATTAAGCAGAACTCCTTCCGCCCAAAACAAGTATACGCCGGTGGAAAATGAAACCATATCTCTTCCTCACCACGTTGTATACTGTCGGGTAGATCGCTAGTCATGGTCTAAAGCCACAAATGGGTCAAATTAGCATCTCCACCCGGATGCTGTACTCTCAGCCATGGCCCGAAGTAGGTTTCCTCAAACAATTTTCTTTGTGCAGGTGAAAGCTTCGAAGCAATTGTAGTGGCTAGGCTAACTTTATTCCTTAATGTCAATGAAGCCGAAAAAAATTTCTACAAAAACAATAAACATACCAAGTTAGATATACCAAAAACTACACTGTGAAGATATACCAAAAACAATAAACATAAATAGTAGTTTATTCTTGAAACTAAAATTTGCAACACTGTTTTGTCTTTTGGTTGAAATGAAAATTGCAACGAGATAATGAGAATCGCAACGCGGAAATGACTATCGCAACGAGAGTATCGCAACGCGAAATGACTATCGCAACGAGAGAATCGCAACGCGAAATTAAAATCGCAACGAGAGAATCGCAACGCGAAATGAAAATCGCAACAAGAGAATCGCAACGCGAAATGAAAATCGCAATGCGATTTTGGTTTCGCGTTGCGATTCTCTCGTTGTGATAGTTATTTCCGCGTTGCGATTTTCATTCTCGAAACTATTCTTCTTCTGCATTACTTCAACCAAAAGACAAAACAAAGACAAATACTAACTTCACAGGCTAAACAGTTTAGCAGTATTGACAGCAATCGAATGAATTTAATAAGAAATCTAAGTGAAATGGTTAATCTATTATTGAAATTACCAGTAAACTTATCATCAATCTCAATATGAAAAACCTAAAATAATGCAAAAATTTAAAAAAAAAAAAAAAAAAAAAGCCTAACCCTCGGAGGTTGATTTTTCATTTCTGAATGATTGTGAGGGATTTCTGACTGTGAATGGTTGTGAGGGATTTCGCCGGCGATGGGGACGGAAATCTTCGGAGATAGGGACGGATTTCGCCGTAGAGAGTGAGAGATGGAGATGAGACTGGGTGTTGTGATTTTAGGTTTGAGGTTATGAGTTGCGATTACTGTGGACGGTTCAGTGTAGGGGTGAGCAACGAAACCGAGAAAACCGAAAAACCGACACGAACCGAGTAAAACGGTTCGGTTCGGTTTGGCTTTAAACGGTTCGGTTTTCGGTTCGGTTTAAAAGCTTTATTTTTTTGATTCGGTTCGGTTCGGGTTTTTCATATGGAACCCATTTGTTCCATATTGAATCGAATAGGCAATTTTTGTAAAAAAAATTATAGTTTCAAGTGATTTTTTCATTGAAAAACCGAAAAACCGAACCGAACCGAACTGAAAAACCCGAACCGTTAAAAAACCCGAACCGAACCGAAAAAACCGGTTTCGGGTTTTTCGGTTTTTTAACTATTCGGTTTCGGTTTAAATATTGAAAAACCGTTTATTTCGGTTCGATTCAATTTTTGGTAAAAAACCGAACCGAATACACCCCTAGTTCAGTGTTCCAATATATTAATATTCGTGTTTGGAATTTGAAAATAAAATACGCTTTGCGATACTAATGGCGCTTTGAAAATCGCATTGCGATTATGTATTATCTCGTTGCGAAAGTCAGTATTGAGTTGCGAAAGTCAGTATCGCGTTGCGATTTTGTATTATCGCGTTGCGATAGTCAGTACTGCGTTGCGATTTTCCAAATTCGCATTGCGATTTTCCAAATTCGCATTGCGATTTACTTATTCGCATTGCGAATTGGGAAAATCGCTACGCGAAATTAGAAAATCGCATTGCGATAGTCATAATCGCGTTGTGAATCTGGAAACTAATTTGCGATAATGGAGATCGCGTTGCGAATTAGCGATCGCATTGCGATTTTGTTGGTCATTTTGGCAAATCCGGAAAAAGTTGATTAAAATCGTATATTATATGGGATTTCCATTTGAATACTTTGAATAAATCTACCAAAGTATCGGAGACGTTGAAATCAGTGCATTCGCTTAGGCGTTCCATTGTTGTGTTAGTTGAACAAGAAGGTAGCGGAAGCCCGAGAAGCTTCCTATCGAGATTTATGGAGTCTTTACATTACTTTGCAGCCATGTTTGATTCATTGGATGATTGTCTCCCACTAGAAAGCGCTGAGAGATTAAGCATTGAGAAAAAGCATCTAGGGAAGGAGATCAAAAGTGTGATCAACTTTGACAAGGACGAGGAAGATAGTGAATCGTTTCCGAGCTATGAAAAGGTGGAAGCATGGAAGAACAGGATGGAGAGCCATGGGTTTGAAGGGATGAAACTGAGTTCCAAGTGTTTGATACAGGCGAAACTTCTGCTGAAAATCACCACCCATTATAGCCCTCTTCAGTGTGAAGGAGATGTCAATGGTGGGTTTAGAGTTTTTGAAAGAGATGAAGCAAAGGCTCTCTCTTTAGGGTGGCAATATAGGTGCTTGCTTACTGCATCTGCATGGCAATGTGTATGATATGACTAGATTGAACATTATCTGCCCTTTATCTTTTCTTTCCTAACTCATTCATATCATTTATAACTGTAACATTTTATGATATAACGATGGACTTTGATTTTTGGTACCCTTTAATAGCTTTACACATGTTTTCATGGCAATGCAATCATTTGATTTTGTTTCTAAAGTTAAGATCTTTTTTTTACCAATATAATCCCCAAATAGTGAACAAGAAGAAAACCCAATCCCCAAATATCAACCTTGAAGTTTGTGTTTTCTTTTTTGTAACATTAAGTTATTGAAGATTTGGCATGTGGAAAAGTTCAGCATCAATTCAAGGGGCACACATAATGATAATAGTTTTTTCATTCATGCACAACTAGAATGAATAAATTTACAATCCTATAGCCAGTGCTAACAAGTGAATGATTTCCAACTCTAAAAACAATTCTTTCGCATAACTGATTCCAGAAATTAAATAATTTATAATGACCAATCTCGAAACTGTACTGATCCAAGAAATCCAACATAGGCAATTATGAAAAACTACACTTTTTCAGTTCAAATTCCCCATCTTCCTGAATTACTAGTGTACTGGAATTTCCTTAGCAGAACCTACGGCATCCTACTCATTTTTCTCATCTTCGACCTATAAATTACCCACTCTGCACAAGGCCATATCGTTTAAGTTCCTTGTCGTCCTGCATTACAAGTATCAGATATATTCTACTAGCAAATGGATAAACAAAATGCTAGAACATAAAAGGATAAGTATCATACCTTAAATGCTAGTATTTAGTTTGTTCTCAGTTCAAACACAGCTTCTCCAGCTCTCTGATGGAAGTATCAGTGGCCTTGTGCTGTTGTTTCAATTTACACGCACCCAAATCTTACTTTTTCAAGCTAGCTATTCCTCATCTAGGGGCAACAGATAACATGATAAGCTTCACATTTCAGTTTCTTAGTTTAATATTTCTATTCTTAACTAGTTCTTCAATGTAATTGAAAAGTGTTTTTGGAGCCAAAAGCACTTTTGGCACTCTAAGCAATGAAGAACAAGAAGCTTTCAAGATGAAAAGTGTTTTTAAAACCAGCTTTTCAACCGAAACGTAAAAGCTAAAAAATTTAATACTGCTTTTATGTATGAAATTATCAAAACAGCCTCATTTATTCTAGATATTTTGCAATTAATTATACTTTCTAACATGTTTAAAATAGACGTTTTAACTTTCCACAACACTTTTTGAGAGCAATGTTAAACACTTCAATTAACAAACAACACTTTTCTACAGTATTTTTGAAAAACACTTGATAAAAAACACTTTTCAACACAACAACAATGGAACACTTAAGGACTATGCAACTATCTCAGGCCAAAACAAGAACAGAAAAAGTAGAAAAGTTATGCAGATTATTTTTCTGATCTCAGTCTATATAGCACGTCAGATGCAGGAAGCAACCATCAATAGTTACTTTTTTGAGAGGCAATAGTTCATGTAAAAATTAATAAGTTGAATCACTAATTCAAAATTCTGAATAGGGGCTTAAACTAGATATTTGTGCTCTTAAGCTATTCGAGTTCAACTCAGGAAAAACTTGAACTCGATCTCCTCCTTGTCAAGCCGAGCTTGAACTATATAGTGAGCCAAGTTCAAGTATCTTAATACTTGATTCGAACAACTTGCAAGAGTAATCAAGCTTTTTATTTAATTTATATTTAAATATTAAATTCTACTTTTACTCTTGATACATAAGAACTTAAATCTGAACCCTAATTTATTTTTCTTCCTTTCATCCCCTCTTCTTCTCTCCCTCGCATCCATCCCCAAAATCACCTCTCTCCTTCCTTTCATTACTTTTCTTTAAAAAAATTATTATTATTATACCATTATTTACTCTTTAAAAAAATGTATATGAACTAAGCTTGGCCTCAAGTATGTAAATAGTGCATACAAGCCAAGCTTGAAAGGTTCAATGTTTTTCGAGCTTAGCTCAAACTTAAATAATAGTGTCCAGTCGAGCACTCAAGTTCGAGTTGAGTTTCAAGCTGCAAGTTTCAAATCATGTTTAACCCTGAGTTTCTTACTATTTGCGCTTGGCTCGATTAGAGCCCTAGTTCTGAAGACACCAAAAGTATTCTTGAAGATTAGAATCTGCCAAGGGTGTACACGGTATAGCATACACCAAGTCATTTAATTTCCAGATTAGTCATCTATATAATCATGTAAATATTGGAACCTTACCAGCACTTAGGGCTTAACCATTTGAGAAATTAGTTCTGCTTGCATTAGTAGGTTTATCAGTCTCTTCCAACAATCTGAAGAAGTTGGATAAAACACTTGCATCGTTGCGTGTGTCCCTTTTAACCAACCATTCTTCTTGAAGATGAATGTCAACATCCCTGTATAATAAGTAGGGTGAAGTCTAGAAATCAAGAACCAGATATAATTCAAGAACAACAACACCATAAGGAGACTTTGGTCTTTGAACAAGAAATCATGGTGCTCAAAGAAGGAAATGTGTTACCTCCTCAAGGCTAGAACTTCATAATTTCTTCGCAGATAATCAGCATACTTTGTGAGGGCCTCTTGTGCATACTGTTTGCCAACAGTTCTCACTGATGCTGCATTTAGTAAGTTTTCTAGTGAGCCATGCTTTTTCAAAAGCTTTAAGGCAGTTCTCCGACCAAAACCAGGAACCAAATGTTGAATCCCAGGAACACCATCAACCTCATCACCCATGATGCATCCTACAAAATTACTTAATGATTACTTATACACATCATCCCAGAGGAGATCTAGAACACTAGGAAAACTGAGGACAAGCAAAGTCATGGAGCATTCTTTTACCAAAACTGAAAAATTAAGCTGGGAGAGCTGTATATTCTAATTATCAAACAAGTCCCTACATTCCTTTTTTTTTTACTTTTATATTAATGGAACTTCCACGTTAAGGGTCAATTCTCAAAAAATTCGTGTATTATAAATCTAAAAGGACACGGAGGAAAACCAAAATATTGTTTATTAGTTTCAAATTGCCATTGCACCTGCAACACAACTAGCACCATATAAGCCAATCCCCTGTGTAATAATTAGTTTGTTTAACTTCATTTGAAGCCATCTTCTTTTCAAAGTTGAAGGATTTAAAGTGATCCAAAGCAGGAAAACAATTCAACACTTGAAGCATATTAAAGTAAAAAGAAAGAACCAAACACTTCGCACTCCCCCCATAAAGATGTAATGAAACAGGCATGATGTCATGCCATACGCCCACATCTTTATTTCTCTAAAAGAACAACAAAAATAACCCTAGTAAATACATTTTAATTATATAGTGAGATTTTCTGGTTATATTATCTTATTGGACTAGTTACTGCATGCCCAAAATAAGTAAAATAACACAATTAAAATTATGTACAGAATTGCTGATAAACTATAGCACTGAACACAACTCATTAATATGCATACAAATAAGTTTAAAACGGTATCAGCAGTTATATAATTGCAATCTTACACTTACTATCACCGAAAAGAAAAAGGCACGCATACTTACTAAGGCTCAAGTCAGAGTGCGGATCACAATTATACTGAGCTATGTAGTGCTTCAGAGTGTAAAAAGACCACCGGTCTAACTCTGCCAGAGGCATAACAATTTGAACATTTTCAGAAATCAACTGCTTAAAATCCTTATCAGGAGAAGCAATAACCACACGATATCCTCTTTTTAATACTTGTTCCACCAGTGTGGCTACGACATCATCAGCTTCATTTCCTTTAACTTTTAGGACCTGCATGATTTAGGTTCACACAGATGAAACAAATAAAACAAAAAGGATGGATCAACCAACATTTTAGCATCAATGTCCATCTGCATAATGTCCTCATAACAACTATTATATTGAGGAATATGGTGGCAAATGAATTGAAGTCATAATGCAACTTTCTGGCCAACAAATATGTATAATTTTCTTCTAAAAATATCTATTTGGATTCTTAACAATTATTTGAACTGAGCTAGTTACTATTCTCTTCGGCTATATACTAAATAAAACCAATCATCCTTACTGTCCTGAAGTATTTTTAATGTAAACACAAGTTAATTTGGCAGTTTGCGTAGCATTTACTTCTATAAAATCTAGACAGGTCATGCTAGCAACCAACACACCACCATTGTAAGTGAGAACATTCTTGCATAAATTTATAAACCATATTACTTTTATTATCTAAGCTTCTTAACTTCTTTTCAGAAGAAAATGAAATTAAAGAGGTTCGCTTACAGGCACATTGCATTTTCTAAGAACATCCATGATGAGTTGTTGTGATCCCCCAAATTGACTCCTAACATATTTTTTTGAGGTTGTTGGCCGTGGAAAGAATTTCCTCCTATGTGCTTTATATGAAGGTAACAACTGTCTCCGCTTTTCATTACAGTTTTCACCATCAAAAACCTGAAACAAGAAAATAAATAAATGAAAGTGAAATGTCTAACCACAACCAAGTTATTGCATCTGCAAACATAAGACTGGTTTGTTTGTACTTCTTCTATATGCTTTTTACGTTTAACCGTTCATCCCTAAAAAATTTATGAAATGTAACACAAATAATAATTTGCAAAAGCATCATCATCACTGTTATATTTATTAAAACTGAACAATTATGCAAATTGTAACACAAATTCAAACATAATTGATCATGTATAAGTAAAAGCTATCATTTTACTATTCATATAATATATATTTTAACTTTCAATTCTTCAAGAATAAAAGTAATTTCCATCACATCCCAACAAAAATTTCTATTGTAATTGGAAACAAAAGAAAATGAAAAGTTCGTTTCCAAGTAAAATAGATATAAAAATCTTACGGCAATAACAGGGTCGGTGAGGCAGACTTGAGAGAAGAAAAGAGAAACCCAGTGACCAAAAGATTGTAAGCTTGGTTTATTTCCAGCATAACAAAGAGGATTAACGTCCAAGAAGAATACCCTTTTCTTTCCTTTGCTCTTTGTTTCATTTTCAAGACATTCTCTCACTGGCAAAACTTGTTCACCAACTGTTTGGTTAAAAGACCCAACAACTGAGGACGAAGAAGACGCAACGATGGTTTTAATCTTCCATGACTTTGTTGTTTGTGGGACAATTTCGGTTGTTTTGTTTCTGGACTTTCCATTTGAAACTGAACGAAATGGATTTGGAGGGAGACTGGGAGTGAGTAAAATCCTGGTTGCCAATGTAACTACGACCATCTTGTTTAGCTCCTTATCACTTTGGAAACCTTTCCCCCTTTTTAATAACAGATGATAGTAATTACTTAGGGAAGTGGATACAGGATACTGGATAGGCCTAATGGAACAAAAAACCTAAATTATAAATGATTTAAAATACTAAAATGTTTTTTTTTATAAAAATAAATATCTAAATTATTATTCATCATTAATATAAAGTACCTAAATTATTTTTGTTAAAATAAGTATTAAAATTGATTTATTTATTTTAAGTGTTTAAATTAATAGTTTGGTAGAACAATTATACAAATATTTATAACATTTCAATTTTCACTGGTTGAGAATTTTTTTTTAATTAATCTGATATGATTACATAGTTGTATATGTTCAAAAAATTATCAATAATTTGATAATAAATGTCCAAATATTTCTGTAGTCGATGTATTCAAACCCAAAACTTTTAAAAATAATTATCATCCTCTTAACCGTTGAGGTTGTATGATTTGTGCTAATAGAGAAAAATTGAAATTGAAATACCAACAAGACTTAAAGTAATTATAAACTAATAATTTAAATAGTTATTTTGATTTTAAGTTCATTGTTTGATAAAGGATATAATATCACTTTTAAATCAAATGATTGTAAAATTATTAACATTATATCAAAATATGATATTTTTTAAGATTATAGGTTATAAAATATTTATATGGTACATCTAGATGATATTTATATTTTTTATATATGCTTGGTTGGTAAAGATGAGTATGATTATTGTTATGGTATAGTAATATCAGATGTACAAACATGAACATATTGTATAAATTTATTAAAATAGATTTATTATGAGGTCGATCGAAGATAAAATTTAATCTTGATAAAATTTGTGATTTATGTATTAAAAATAAATATAAAAGAATTTTTTAAAACATATTAATTATGTATCAATCAGTAGAATAATACTATAATTCATATAATTCTTTTTGAGCTATAAAAACTTTTAACTTAGGTGGAAAATGATGCACATTTGTATTAATTAATAATTACTCTAGGTTTATTTAATTTTTTTTCTTAAACACTTAAGGCTTTACAAAAATAATCACGTTTTCAAAAATAGAATCAAAATAAGAAAGATTATTCAACTTCAAGTGTTATGAGAAAGATTATTCAAAGTGTTATGAGTGATAAAAATTTGATTTTTTAAAATCTAAGTTTTGTAATTAACGATAAACACACATATCACATGTAGGGTTGTAAACGAGCCTATTCGAACTCGAGTATTGTGGAGCTCGAGTATTGTGAAACTCGACTCAACTCGAAAAGTGTAATATTGAGTTTGACTTGATTGCAAAACTCACGAGCTTAAAACTGTTAAGCTCGTCTTGAACTCGAAATAGAAAATTAAAGCTAGACTCGAAAGTTCGTGAGCTTAAAATTTTTTTGACTCGAAATAAAAAAATGAAGTTCGACTCGAGCTCGAAAAACTTAAAATTGAAATATTCTCAAACTTGACTCGATTGAAACTCAAACTCGAATTCAAACCTAAACTTTAAGTACATAAAAGCCATATATTGTATTTTTTTTAAAAAAGAACAACATAAACATGCTAATATTATTAATAATTGAATTAAAAAAATCTAAAAATTTAATATATTATTTTTTAATTTCTCATGAGCTTTTCGAGTTGAGTGTCAAATAACTTGTTTCGACTCATTAAGAATTAGAGCTTGAGTTGAATCCATTAGATTCGAAAGTTAATTGATTCAATCTCGAGTAACTCAGCAATCTATTTCATTTCATTTACCGTCCTAATCACATGATACTTAAGGTTGCCTGAAACAAATATTCAATGCCTTCATTTAAATGAAAACAACTAATGATGTCATCAATTCTCGAATATACTTATAATATCTTAAAAAGAGGATAAAATTATTGTTAAATAAAAGTATCAAATCTTAAATCCAAGATTGTCGAGGGATTAAAATAAGAGAAAATAAACTCAGTGACCAAAAATCTCATATAATATATGATTTTAACCAATTTTTTCTGGATTTGTTAAAATGACCAACAAAATCGCAATGCGATCGCTAATTCGCAACGCGATCTCCATTATCGCAAATCAGTTTCCAGATTCGCAACGCGATTATGACTATCGCAATGCGATTTTACAATTCCGCGTTGCGATTTCCCAATTCGCAATGCGAATAAGTAAATCGCAATGCGATACTGACTATCGCAACGCGATACTGACTTTCGCAACGCGATTCTGACTTTCGCAACGAGATTCTGAAAATCGCAATCATCTTCAAAATCTCAATCACAACCGGCTTCACCTTTTGGGACTGTTAACTTAGGTGATTTTTAAATGCAAACGTTGTATTATGTGTATTTTATGTGTGCACTTTTAACATTTTCAGTTAGGCATGTATTAGTAACTTGAGTTTGAACATTGCTATGATCTGTTGAGTTGTTATCACTTATTAGACATTCATTTGACTATCGAAACGGGGAAATCGCAACGCGAAAATGACTATCGCAACGCGAAAATGGCTATCGCAACGCGAAAATGGCTATCGCAACGAGAAAATCGCAATGCGAAATGAAAATCGCATTGCGATTTTCTCGTTGCGATTTTTATTTCGCATTGCGATTCTCTCGTTGCGATAGTCAGTTTCGTGTTGCGATAGTCTGTTTTGCCTTCAACATAATGCATATTGAAAATCAACAAAACAATTATTACATTTCAATCAATTAAACAAGCACAAATAAGAATTATGTACACATCGATTAAATAAATCAACATTTACAAATCATTTTTTACAAATCAATTAAACAATCAAAAAATAATAATAATTCTTATTTCCTCATCAATTATTGAATGAATAAATCAACTTTTGCACCCGTACATCCATTTCACGCAGCTCACTTAAGGATTAACCTGCAGAAACTAAACATTTGCTCAAACAAGACTTCCTACACATCTAAAAACCTACAAACAACAAATTATTGAATTCTAGGTACTTAACCAAACATTTTCAAACCAAAAGGAGTATATATGTTAACAAAACTTGCATTTGACTTACCAATTAACAAAAGGAGTATATATGTTAGCAAATTGTTAAATAATTACTTATAATTTTGGAAACATTATATAAAAATTCTTACCTTAAAGGCCCAAATAAAGCCTATCAAAGTGTATTTGGAACCATCACCATGCAAACTTTTTTGATCATCCAAGGCAGACAATAACTTATTCCATGTAGCTTTCCATAAATACGAGCCCCACGGAAACATGTTCTACGCATTTAGGTTTCTACCAATTTGATTAGATCATTCGGAATAGGTTGTCTGGCCTCTCTGCCTAAAAAGCCGGCATGCAAAAGTATTAGAAGGCATACTCGGACAACATCGACGTCATCCATCCGAGTAAAACCATCTTTCTTATTCAATAATCTCGTCAGGTCTTCCACGTATAGATTCGGCCTCTCCAGCTCAGGAAAAACCCGGGATAACCATTATGGGCGGGTAATGTGTCTAGTGTACCGACCTACATCATCGTGTCCGAAGCGTAGACCGATGATTAAGCAAAACTCCTCCCGCCCAAAACACGTATACGCCGGTGGAAAATCAAACCATATCTCTTCATCACGACGTTGTATAGTATCTGGTAGATCGCTAGTCATGGTTTGAAGAAACAGGTGTGTCAACATCGCATCTCCACCGGGATGTTGTACTTTTAGCCATGGCCCGAAGCAAGTATCCTCAAACATTTTTCTTTGTGCAGGTGAAAGCTTCGACGCAATTGTTTTGGCCAGGCTGACTTTATTTCTTAAAGTCAATTGAGCCGAATAAAAGTTCTACAAAAACAATAAACGTACTAAGTTAGATATACCAAAAACTACACTGTGAAGATATACCAAAAACAATAATAAACATAAAGAGTAGTAGTTTATTCTTCAAACTTAAATTTGCAACACTGTGAATTTCTTATTTGTCTTTGTTTTTTGGTTGAAGTAATGCAATTCATTCAAGTTTCAATTTGCAGAAGAAGAATAGTTTCTGAAAATGAAAATCGCAACACGAAAATGACAATCGCAACGCGAATTTGACTGTCGCAACGAGAGAATAAAATCGCGTTGCGATTTTGTCGTTGCGATTTTCATTTCGCGTTGCGATTCTCGGTTGATTTAATAAGCAATCTAAGTGAAATGATTAATCTATTATTGAAATTACCAGTAAACTTATCATCAATTTCAATATGAAAAACCTAATAATAATGCAAAAATTTCAAAAAGAAAATAATTAAAAAAAACTAACCCTCGGTGGTTGATTTGGTTGATTTTCCATTTCTGATTGTGAGGGTAGTTTCTGAGAGATGGAGATAGACGGATTTCGTCGGAGATGGGGACATATTTCGTCGGAGATGGGTGAGAGAGTGAGAGATAGAGATGGGACTGAGTTGTGATTTTAGGTTTTAGGTTATGAGTTGCGATTACAGGATATACTGTGGACGGTTTAGTGTTCCAATATATTAATATTCGTGTTTGGAATTTGAAAATAAAATACGCTTTGCGATACTAATGGTGCTTTGAAAATCGCATTGCGATTATGTATTATCTCGTTGCGAAAGTCAGTATTGCGTTGCGAAAGTCAGTATCGCGTTGCGATTTTTCAAATTCGCATTGCGATTTACTTATTCGCATTACGAATTGGGAAAATCGCAACGCGAAATTAGAAAATCGCATTGCGATAGTCATAATCGCGTTGCGAATCTGGAAACTGATTTGCAATAATGGAGATCAGATTATGAATTAGCGATCGTATTACGATTTTGTTAGTCATTTTAACAAATCAAAAAAAAATAGTTAAAATCGTATATTAATTTTTGGCCACTGAAGTTATTTTTTCTTAAAATAATAATTAGAGTGAAAAGTTGCAAAACTCAAACCTAAAAGGACCAAACCCAAAAGGGAGCAACCCACTTTCACGGTTTCACTGGTAAATTGGTTGATTTCTCCGCCCCTCCTTTCGAAGCTTTGGAGGTCACACCCAGTTCTTTATCGGCATCCAAAATCACCCAATTCTGCTAAAAACCCAACTGCTCATCCAGTTTCCTCTCATTTCCTTCTCAAAACAAAACCCAATTCTCCTTTGTCCACCAAATGGCTCATATCCTACAAACTTCTTTCCTTCCCTCCACTTCCACCCTCCGCCGCACCCCCATCCCGGGTTCTAAAGCTAAGTCTCGATCCCTTCAGGTTAAGGCGAAGATACGAGAGATTTTCATGCCGGCATTGAGCTCCACGATGACGGAAGGTAAGATCGTGTCGTGGATGAAGTCGGAAGGAGACAAGTTGTCGAAAGGGGAGAGTGTTGTTGTCGTTGAATCGGACAAGGCTGACATGGATGTCGAGAGTTTTCACGAAGGGTTCCTCGCCGCCATCATGGTCGAGGAAGGCGGTGTAGCTCCCGTCGGCTCTGCCATCGCCCTCCTGGCTGAGACCGAAGACGAGATCGCTGAAGCCAAGGCCAAATCTCAGTCTTCTTCTGGTAGCAGCAGTGCCCGAGTAGTGGAGGAGAAACCAAAGCAAAAGCAAGAGTCGGAGCCCGCTGTTTCGGCTGTTGCTCCTACTGTTTCAAGTACAAAGACCGTGGTTGTGGGGTCCGCGGTGCATCCGGCTTCAGAGGGAGGGAAGAGGATAGTTGCGTCTCCGTACGCCAAGAAATTGGCAAAGGAGTTGAAAGTGGATTTGGGGACAGTGGTGGGGACTGGACCCTTGGGGAGGATTGTGGCTAAGGACGTGGAGGCTGCAGCCGCAGCCGCAGCGGGTGTGGTCGCTGCGGCATCGCCTGCTTCTCCGGCAATCGCAGCCCCGGTGGCATCTGGTATTGAGTTGGGGACAGTGGTTCCTTTCACTACAATGCAGGGTGCTGTGAGTAAGAATATGGTTGAAAGTTTGTCTGTGCCTACTTTTAGAGTCGGTTACACCATCACCACAGATGCCCTTGATGCCTTGTACAAGAAGGTAAAGATGCTTTTGTTAAGTTGTTATAAAATGATATAATTTCTAGCTTCTTTACATTGAACCTTTATAAATTGATAACTGAATTGACAGTAGTACATAAGGTAAAGAAACTAACTTTTCATTTAAGATTGTTTATCTAAGTGGTCATAAGTAGAAATTTTAAGTGGTTTTGCTAGAGTCTTTGTTACAATTGACCTATTATGGGGGAAAAATGCCTTGCACCAGAAAACTTACTTGGCTTAAAACAAATTTCGCTTAATTTAGGACCTTTTCTTTTATTTTTGAAAATCGGTTGATGTAAATTGTATTTTTTTTTTGTTTAGATAAAGTCCAAGGGTGTAACAATGACAGCATTGCTTGCAAAGGCAACGGCGCTTGCATTGGCTCTACATCCTGTAATTAATACCTGTTGTAGGGATGGAAACAGCTTTACGTATAACAGTAGCATCAATATTGCCGTTGCTGTAGCTATAGATGGTGGGTTGATTACACCAGTTCTTCAGGATGCTGATAAGGTTCGTACTATTCTATTTATGGCTGCTTTATTTTTATTCATATGTAGCTGTAACAATGTTGAAAGGGTTTTATTTCATTGCATTTCAGGTTGACATTTATACATTGTCTAGAAAGTGGAAGGAGTTGGTAGATAAGGCACGGGCCAAGCAATTGCAACCTCATGAATATAATACGGGTATGTTATTCTCATCACAAATTGAGCAAGGAGTTCTTTTAATGAAAGCTCAATGATATGCATACTAATCTTGCCATCTTTTTCATTCCCAGTTGGACAAAGCGATGAATTATTTGAAAATTCTGCATTCTCTGTTTCTTGGAGATAATTTTTTTAATGCAAAGATATTTTGAACTATTGGGAAACTTAAAGCTCAACTAGACATTTGAAAAAAGGTTTCTATGCCACTGAACAAAGAGTATGCATGGTTCCTATGAAATTAATTACTATAATTAACTTTCTCAATCTTCTTGACTAGGGAAGGTTGAGCATAGGTTTCATTTTCTGTTTCCTTTTATTCTTGCCTGTCAGTTCTGGGACCACAACATGCTAATGCTGGGATGATAATTCTTTTCTAATTCTGCTGGTACAAACTGATTGCTTTGATTTAGAATAGTGGTTAGTTGTAAGATGCTGATCATCATAACTCATAAAAATATTGAAAAGTTTCTCTCACTGAACTTTTGTTGATATATAAGAATTGCAAAATCATTGGGTGGTGGAAAATTTCAATTTAAGTTGCCCCGCAAAATATTGACTAATATATGGTTTTTGGCTTAATGCCCCTTTAACAATATTGAGACCTTTTCTTAATCTGCATTTTGTTTTGTGTTTGCTTGTTGATATTTCTTGCTCCTTTTGCAGGTACCTTCACTCTGTCTAACCTTGGAATGTTTGGTGTGGACCGGTTTGATGCCATTCTGCCGCCGGGAACTGTAAGTACTGTTGCTCAATTATTAATATTTTCTCATATGTGGTAAGACTTGCCTGATTCCTGAGATGCAGGTAATATCTGGTGGATTGAACTGTATGTACCAACTCGGTGTTTGTACTTGATCCTTTTTATTATTTTTCGATGCAGGGAGCAATTATGGCTGTTGGAGCTTCTCAGCCTGCAGTTGTAGCTAGCAAAGATTGTCGTATTGGCGTGAAGAATCAGATGCAGGTAAGATTTTTCGTTTTCCATGATAGGCTTCCTTTGATATATTTATTCCTAACAAAAATGGACCAAAACTCATCCATGTTTAGGTAGATTGAAAGCAAGCATTCACTTTGAACTTTAAACTTCCGCAGGTAAATGTTACCGCCGATCACCGTGTCATCTATGGTGCTGATCTAGCTTCATTCTTGCAAACGTTGGCCAAGATTATCGAGGATCCCAAAGATCTTACCTTGTAATGTGCCGTTCGTTTAACAAAACGATGCCCTCATGGCCATGACATGCTCACACAAATTCTCATTTAACATGCTCCCAAGGTTCATGTTCTTCAAATCATTTATACTTGAGATCTTGAAATTATGAAATTTACTTGAGATGTAGGTGAGTTTTCAGTGGAGAAGAAGACGAGTATTTTACAGAGCACTGGTTAATTCAACTTTCTCTTGTTCTATTTTTTTCGTTTAATGTTGGCTTTAACTATTTCCATTAGACATGGCCCATTTTCATCATCATACTTTCAATTTAAATAAGATAAGATTAACTATTTTACTAATATTTAAAACATAAGTTTATTTTTATAAATATTATTAAAAATATAATATTCTTTGATATTTTGTTAGTATGTTACATTATATTTTTTACTTATTTAATTTAAATATAATATTTTAGTGTTTGATTTGTAAATATAAGATAGATTATTTTACTAGGATGCCTTTGTTAGTTTTTTTTAATAAATTTAATCTCACATTAAATTTAAAAAATTCCGATATGCGAGTTCATTTTTTTTATTCCGCTGTACTTAAATTTTATTTTTAATATAATTAATATATTAAATAATATTTTAAAAAAATGATTGCACATATTATTATTATAATTTATATGTACCATAATATATGTGTGTAGTTTAAGATTCAATTTTTTATTTAATATTTTACTTGATTTAAAGGATTAAGTTGACTATTTATACGATAAAATTGTCTAAAAAAACATTACTTAAGAAAGGTTTAGGTGTCAAAAGTTTTTAAATTCTTTAAAAAAAATTAATTTAGCTCATGGATTTTTTTTATATCCAATTAAGTTTTTATATTTTGAAATTTCTTCAAATCACAATTTTTTTATTAATGTTGATTGTCAAATCTAACAATTTTTTTTTAAATTAAATGGTGTTACATTGTCAAATCTATCAATGATATTTTTAAAATTTTATTAAATTTTAAATGATTTTTTTAAAAATATTTCAGAATTTTTATTTTAAAAAATTATAAATTTCATGTGATATAATTACAACATGTCCATGTGACAAATTGAAGAATAAAATTTCTAAAATTGAAAGTATAAAGATGAAATTTTAAAATTTTAAAAAGTGTAGGGATTGGAGCAAAATGAATGCAAAGAAGGTAGAGGAAATAAGTAAGCAAGCTTAAACTTGCATCATTATTGAGAGGACATGAAAGATGAATGGAATTAATTACAATATTTTGTTTGAAATACAAGTGGTAATGATATGGAAATTAACGAGAGAGAGTGTGTTGAAATTAAGGGCACCTGCCCTTCTTGTATTGGGCATAACAGGGGCAAACTTCCTTGTTAGCAGTAGGGCCTGGAGGCACACATCCCTCGCAGGTGTTACAGCAAGCGATGCATGTTTTAAGGCACATCTTCGGTTTCCATGACTTGCTGCATCTCGATTCACACTTTGGTACGCAATCTGAGTTTTTCAATCAATAAATGTATTCGATTTAAAATTTATTATGTTTCACGTTGTACGTTGAATTAAAGTTCATACGTAGACGTAAAATTTATGTTCAATAAATAAAAGCTACGAATAATGATAAACTTTGTTACCTGGTCTTTGGACTTGAGCTTCAACCATGGGCATTCCAATCTGAAAAATCATGGAGAAAAAATGATTAGTTGTTTCTCAAGATGAACATCACAGAAACTGATTATGAAAACCATAAAATCACACACCTCGGATACTATGAAAAGACAAAGAACAGTAAACACAAGTGTAGTGTTGATGGCGGCCATTCTCAAACTTGTTATAGAAGGAAATCTTTATTATCTCTGTCCTTTCCCTCTTATTTATTTATTGATTGATTTGAGGGGATTTTATAGGATCACGTTTAAGCATTTTCTGGAACCTAATTTCTAATCTTAGGTAAATTGACCGCTTTTAGAGGAAATTCTTAAATATTTAGTGATGTGCACTGTTTAAAGCGGGTTTGCCAATCAAATGTTGAACCCAACTACAATTTTTTTTCACGGTCATTTTCTTTCTCCAAATTTGTTCTCCAATTTAAAATATATTTAATTATGAACCGAAATAATAGATCTAATTTACATTTTTACTAAGTTTCGGATAAGGTATTCATAATTTATAACTTTTTTTATAAAAATATTCTTTTTATATTATTTAAAAGTTTGATTGATTTGATGTTATCACATAATTTATAAAAATAACTAAAAGTTTTTATTTAAATATTAATAGAGATATTTTTATGACGGGTATAAAATAATGGAAGTAGAGGTTCACTTAAGTTAGTGTAAAATTAAAATATTTTTCTAATTTCTTATATCTATAAACATATATAAAAGTAGTGTAAACTACATCATTAATCGCTAATTTATTATCTCTTTTCATTTTAGGCCTCAAACTTTTTTTTGACAAAAATGTCACTAACATTGTATTTTTCTTATTTTGATCACTCAGTGTTAAGATGTTGGCACGGTACTCGCATAGTATTTTTATTCTTCTAATTTTTTTTAAAGAATGTTTATTTTTTTAAAAAGTATCTTCATCTTTTAATTATAGTTTTAAAATTTTGTTAAATGATTAAACTAATGTTTGAACTATAAATTGAGAGCCAAATTACATGTTAACCCTTTTTTAGAAAATACAATATCATGAAATTAAAAAAATCTAATAACAAAATAAATAATTTATAATAAACGATAATATTAATAATCGTAACTTTTTTAATTTTTGCGATAAAAGGAAAATTGCACAAATATTAATAATCACAACTGTAGTTCACCCCTAATAAAACATAATGAAAAGTTTTCGCCAATGGCACACCCTAAACAAATTAAACCTAGGCCCCAAAGCAAAGGTTTCAGAAATAAATTTAATTACTTGGTAAAATGAGAAGAAACCGTGCAAGTGAACGCATCACTTAACGCTTAAAACAGCTTGAAAAATATATATATAAGAAAAGGGGTCCCAAAGTGTTAACCCATGGCGTATTTCTGGGTCCAGGACTGAGCAGTGGACTCATACTTGGCTCTATCAGTCTTGTAGGTATGTGCAATTTCTGGCACCAAAGGATCATCTGGGTTTGGGTCCGCCAGCAACGAACATATCGACAATAACACCTGCAAACAAATTTGGTTTAAAATCACATACAAAGCATTGCCATGCATTCATGGATATGAAAAGGTGAAAAGAGAACCTTTGAAACCGTGAGGGCAGGGCTCCAATGTTCTTTCAAAATATCAAGACAGATGCTGCCATTGCTGTTGATGTTGGGGTGATAAACCTTTGTTTTGAAGGATACCTGAATGAAACACACATTTTTATAACAAGACCGAATTGCAGAACTATTGTCCCTGTGATTCTTAAATGGTTTTTGTTGTTTACCTTTGGTGGCTTGAATGGATAATCGGGAGGGAAGTGAATGGAAACCGAAAACACCCCACCAGCATAAGGGCTATCTGCTGGACCCATAATCGTTGCTTGCCAATGGAACATGTCATCTCCAGCAGGACCTATGAACAACAAGCCATACAAATTTACTGCCAAAATTCTCCTCAATTACAATTCCAATTTATGATGAATTTAGAAAACAAGACTTAAATAAACCTGCACTGCAAGAGACGGGAGGATCCTTCTGCATGTCTTTCAATTCCTTGGTGATCCTCTTAGATGCCATTGCAGAGTGCAGATTTCTTCAAATTTGATTAACAATAGAACCAAGAAACACCTACCTCTGTAAAAGATTACAAGAAAAAAAAATATTATGATCAGTTGAAACTCCCAGAATTTGATAGTGTATATCTAATCGATGATGGCAAGACAAAGAAAAAGAAAAAAACAATCTGAATCCTTGAGACACTGTGATCTAGAATAAGTGAAAAGGCCGGGCCAGATTACAATACATGATTTCTAAACCCTAACACACCTCAGTATAAATTATTTTTATGATCTAAATCAGCAAACCCTAAAGCATCGATTTAAGAAAATAAATCCTCTGCGTCGGGAACAAAAAGAAAGTAAATCCTGAAGATTGCATTCCTAAAAATAAAATTATAAAATCTCAGATTATACGGAAATATAAAGAACAACATCCAGTTCATCAAAATTAGATTTTTTTTCGTTACCTAAAGATCCTTCCCAAGAAAAAAGAAAAAATCCTAGAACAAAAAAGAAAATCAACCTCTGTATATATATATATATATATATATATGGGCGGTAAATAAATTTGGTAGAGAGTTTAACAGTTTAAATATGTTTGATAATTTAAAATTAAAATTATCAATTAGAATTTATTTTAATAAGCAACTGTAAAAAAATATGGAGTAGATAAATATCTACTTATCACGTGAAGAGTATTTGCAATAGTTTTTGTTTTTTTATTATATTATCTTTTAAAATTTACGCTTATCAAATAATCAAATTATATTTTATTTAATTTTAACCAAAATATCAAATATATCTATAATTTGGTATTTAATATTTAATTTTTTCAGCACTTAGTTTTCAGTTTATCAAGTAGCATTTGAGTTAAAATTTGTTTATATAGTAAAAAATAATTTATTTGATGTTTATGAAACTCAAAGATAATTATTAAAACTATATTTATTTTAAATAATGTTTTATTAAAATAAAATTAGTTTTATTTCTATTAATTCCTATTAAATTTATAATAATATGTATGGTTATACCAGTAGAAATTATTTATATTTTGTATGAGAAAGCAAATAATCCTCAATCCGCCATCAAGATGTACGAGTTGTATTAAATAATAATGTTACAGTATGCAATATGTACGATAGTATAATAATATTTTATACTATTCCAATAAAACTTAAATTTCTCTTTGTTACTTATTTTCTGAAAAAATAAATTAATTTTTCTTTATAATTTATCATTTCCGGCTAAAAATAAACATATTCTCTGAAGTATGTTAAACGAACAAATCATATTCTCTAAATTTTGTATATAAATGATATTATTATATATACGACATCCATTGATCCCAATACTGCTTATATTTTTTGTGCACGTGGATAAGCTCCTTGAAACTTTTGGGCTCATCAAATGAGAATCATAAACCTAAGAAAATAATATATTTTGATTATGGATGATGCAAATAACCTTTTTATTCTTTGATAAGGTACTTGGCCTGGCCTGAAAAGGAAATTGTTGCAGCCTTGGAGATATTAGACTCTCCTGTCCCCGCTCATGAAAATAAAAATCAGCCGTTCAGTTCTTTTTCGAAACTCCTCGTCATGCGCCGTTATGGATTCCAGCTCGAACTCTTGGTCGAACGCTAAGTTCTGGTGCAGGGAGTTTTGCATATCAAACACGACTTTCTTCTTTCTTACATGTTTAGCGATGATTTTGAAGAACAAAAATTGGATGACCAAAACGAAACTATTGGAATAATTGAGTGATTAAATATGTAATTTACACTTGTGTTTTTAACAGAGTTAACAATTTAAGATAAATAAGGTAACTATCCTGGGAATTGATAAAATTGAAAAGGCTAGGGGGAGAATGTCATCATGATTTCCCATTGTCTGGTTTTTACTTCTCATAAAATTACAAGTTAAAATTTTGAACGACTAAAATGAAATATATTTAGCACCTAAGTTAATCGGCCCTAATTTTTTTTCTTTTACATATCATCAAATACAAAATGTAAGAGAGCAGAAAAGAAAATAAAGAAACAAGGCTGAAATTTTAAGATAAGCAATCTTTGCATTTCCTTCAATATATATTTAAACATTAGTATGGCAGATGCAAGCAATATCAGGAAAAGAAATATAACTGGTTGGGAAACAAAATTTCATAAAAATAACATCATTTTTGACAATTAATGCTGATCTGTTGAGAGTTATATCAAGCTACAAACCAACTGGAAACAAAATGATGAAGATGAGGAAGGGGAACTCCATAAAACAATTACAAGTTAACACCCCTGACCCTCCACAAAGGAATTTTAGGAGTTGAGCGTAACGGACGGATAGTCTTGGTAGCCTGTGATGCCTGTTATCCTTATCCGAGTATTTGGCTGCAACGGCAAATCATCAAAAGAACCATAAAATCATGAGGTTGAAGAAAAACATGTATAAATTTTCTTCTAGCATGGCTCTAAGCGATGTACATCGGTGGAAGAACATATTTAGATGAGAAGTGGTGAGGTTATATATGCTTAGCACCTACGAGAAAGATGTGTCAATATCAATAAAGTAAAAATATCCAGGACCACACTGCATGGACTTAGCAGCTATGCTAGCAAACAGTTCGAAGTCTGTGGCTCTGCGAGCTGGATATAAGCGGCAAATTGCAAAGAGGAAGAGAGAACAAAGGATGGAGAGGAGGATAAATTAGGTAAATAGATGATAGAACTAAATTTGTCTGCCTAGTAATTCATGGCTCCAAGAGCTATAGACAAATGACAAATACCAGGAAGGCGAGTTCAGGAAGAGACCTCGAGATCAAAAGAGACAACAGATGATGCGAAGAAGGATAAGAAGGCTTCAGTTTGGTGGAGCAGAACTAGATGACGACAGAATTAACTATATCTCGCTGCTTCTCCAAAAGCAGCAAAAGGCAAATAAATAGATAATAGAATAACAATACATAATAAAATATTTACTATTTCGACATACTAAACAAACTAAATACCATAGAAAATTATATTTCTGTATAAATTGGAATCTAAATAATATTTAGCAGCTAGTTCACCAATCAATTTGTTAAGCCAAAAATGTCATACCTGTCGATGTCCAATATTTCTCCGATAATTTTTCTTCTTCTTGTACTTGAAGACAACTACTCTTGGGTTTAGTCCCTGCAAGTAAAAAGAGAGGACATAAATTTTCCAGTATAATTAAAATGGTAAACCACAATATCAAGGGGTTATATACCTGCTCCTCAACAACAGCATGTACAGCAGCGTTAGTTACTACAGGTTTTCCAATATATGTAGTTTTTGTTCCCACAAGCAATACCTTGTTTAGAACAATCTGTGAAACAAAATGAATTCAAGCTTTTAAGTAGTCAACAAAATATGACTATGGAACTGGTGATGAAATTACTAAACTCTGGAATATTAAGTTTACACTAGTCTAGAGATGCAACAGATACACATGTTAACACAGCCAGACAACACCGTCTCAGACCATTGGAAGGTTAACGAACACAACAGTTTTCTATCAAGTAGACGATGCTCTTAAAATTTACATACTTGTGACTGAATTCACGATAAGCATTTCATTTATGTTCCTTATACTCCAAACGTAAATTTTAAACTGATTCAATATTAACAAGGAAATTAATTGAAAGAGAGCGCAAGTACAAATGCTCGTACATTTTTAAAAAGCCCACCACAGGCTGAAATGGGAGTACCTTTGTAGTAGAGAGAAAAATGCATCGTCTTTGTTTGTCAAATCATAACGATAGAAAGAGTTTAACTGAAATTTCAAATCAAAACATGGTGCCATGATTCTAACACTTCAAAAACACTGAAGAAGTTCAACAATAGTCATGCCAAAACAAGGAAATTAAACTTTTTCTAATTTGTTTCAAGGGTTACAAAGATGGTAATTCACAAAGAATAGAGGGTTAGAGTTCAACATAACCACTCTACCCTAACCCCAACTTCTTACCACATGAGCTAAGATCATGTTGCTCAAATATTCAGTTGCGGTTCACAAAGAATAGAGGGTTAGACTTAGAGATCAACATAAAGACTCTGTCCTAGCGGCAACCTCCTTTCTTTTCTCTTATACATAGTGTGCTACCATATCAGAGATATATCATTTTAGATTATTGTTCACAAAACTTTCAGGTATGATCTCACATACGTACATCTGTGGTTTTTTCAATGTAGAAAGCAAAGACTTCATTATGCTCTTTTGATATTGACAGCTTGTTGCAGCTTCTTGGCAATTCAAAGATAGGTTAAGCCCAAAGACTTGTCCTAGTCTTTGTTTTTCCTTTCATCAACCAAGCTGAGTGGTGCTAACTCATTCACCTATAGATAATAGTCTTAATTGACCGGACCCAGAATTTTTACAACTTTTGGCTATATCATTTTCTCCCTCTCTAAATTATAATCAGAAGATCATGCATAACCTGCATGCTTCCACAACCATTTGCGTACTAGACCGTTTAGCACTTTAGTCAACTCCCGATGTAAAGGTTTCCATGTAATTCAAAAATGAAAGCAAAACTGACAATTACAAACTAGATCATGCTTGAAAGCTTGTTTTAACCATGTTTGATCATGAAAGGAATTCAAATTCTTCAACAAAGAAAACAACTCTTGAAGTAATTAAGAACTGCGGAGAGTATTTAAGAAAACGTAAACACACACTGAACGACCAACCTTATCGTCGATATTTGCACCTTTCAGCCTCAGGGTGTGGAGATATCTTCCAGGGAAAATAATGTATTGGGGACCCCCAATCTAAAATAAAACCAAAGTAATTTATAAAAATTTGTCAGGACTAAACACAAATATGCATTACAACCAAAAATGCATTCAGGGTAAAAATGTCATATCTAGAAAACTCTTTAAGTCAAGGCCGTTACTCACCATAACAACAACAACAATGTCTTCCCTTTTAGCCACTTCCTTGGAAGCCTCAACAATCTGAGCTGGTTCTGGTTCTGCTGCTACTTTGGCTTCGGGAACAGCGTTATAAGGTTCAACATCGACAATGGCAGCGTCGGATTCAGAAGATTTTGGGATCGAAGAAAATGTGAGTGTTTTGGGGAGGAGAAAAAAGAGAAGAATTGAAGGGACACTTCAATAGGCGCAGATACGATATTCTCTGGGCGCACGTTAGCAGGACTAACGGATCCTGAGTTTCTCGTCGAGTCCCCGGCGTTTTCGTCCGATCATCTGTCTGATTTCAATTTTCCTCCGTTCCTCCTCTCTTCCTTCATCCTGATATGGATTGGAGAAAGCTCTTCGGGTGTCAAGATAGCCAAGAACTTACCTATTTTCCCTCAAATCAGAACAATAAACCCTAATTGTTCAGCCTCTTCCTGAGGTCTTAGAGGTTGGAACGACAGAGTGAAAGTCTTCTCTGGTGAGACAGTTCCTAGGAGCATCCCCCAACTTCATCACTTTGCAACGAACCATTGAAAAGCTCTGGAATCATCCATCAAAAGGGGCTCGAGCACAGGTAAGTCTCGCTGGAAATAACCTATACATTTTCACATTCAATTCAGACACTGCTAGGGACTGGGTCCTAGAAAATGACCCATGACATGTTCTCAATAAACCATTAATACTTATGAAATGGGAACCCTACCTTCAAAGACTAAATTTTGATTTATCAAGACTGCCACTATGGGTACATTTATATAATGTTCCTCTTGAACTGTTTTCAAAGGAAGGCCTTAGCTATATAGCCAGTGCACTAGGAGTTCCTTTAACAATGGACTCAATTTGCTTCTAAATTTAGGCTAGAAAATGCTAAGGTATGTATTGAGATAGGTGTTAAATATGAACTTCCTGAAACTGTTGAAGTGATGCTAGCTAATGGTACTACTACCACTATCTATGTTGAAATTCCTTGGTTTCCTAATAGATATAGAAGATGCATCACTTTTGGTCATTCAGATAAAGGATGTTTAGTTAAAACATCCTCAGCTCCTACTACTACAAAAATATGGAGGATAAAGAATAATCTCAATGATAATTTTGATCTTCAATCTCAAGAAAAAATAGAAACCTTGCAGAATCCACTGCCTGATCCTTCCCTGCAAAATTCCCTGCCAGATTCTTCCTCATCAAAAGATATGAATGCTTCCAAGGGAAAAGAACAAGTTAAAGAATCTGAAAATATTTCTTCTATCCAAAAGGATCACTTTTCTAAAAGTGATACCCTTATTCCTAAAGCTCTGTCAATTGAGGAAACTAATAATAAGTCACTTAATCCTCCTCCTAATAATGACTCAGCTAATGGTGAACAATTTGACCAGACTCTTGAAACTGCTCTTAAAATGAATGATTCTATCATTAATCCTAAACGAGATAGAGGTAGACCTCTTAAAGTTAATTCTACTTTAAGAGGTTCTGCAAACAGATTTGAAATTCTCTCCACAGTGGATGAGAATTCACCATCTTCTGAGATTCAAACAAGGAAAAAAGGCATGCTGCTGTTGGAGTTGCCAAACTTATCAAAGAGCTCAAGTCTAAAAAGAAAGATCATATCAGTAAGATCAATAGTACCTCAGAAAAAAAATATAGAGGGTCATTATTCTTCTATTCCTCAATGATCATTTCTTTCTGGAACATCAGAGGATTCAACAATCCTAAAAAATAGATTAAGGTTTTGAATAGAGCTAAACTCTATAAAGTTGATGTCCTCTGTCTGTTAGAAACTTGTGTTTAACCTAAAAATTTTGAGAAAATCTTTCACTCTATCTTAGGGAGCTGGAATATCCTTACCAACTATGACTCTGCTATAAACGGAAGAATCTGGCTTTTATGGAAGAAAGGCATTGACCTTATCCTCTGTCACTCAATTGGTCAAAGTATTACAGTTAAATGCCTCTATAATAACAATACTTTCTTTATCACTGCCATTTATGGCAGTAACTGTGGTTCATATAGAAGATCCCTTTGACAACACCTCAGAGACCTTGACTTTTAAGAAAGCTTTGACTCTCATCTTCTAGGTCTCTATTCTTCCATTGATATGCTTGACTTTTAAGAAGTGGTTCAAGATCTTTCTCTCCAATATCATCATTTCTTTGGCCCTACATTTTCTTGGATTAATAATAAAAAGGATACTTATCTTGCAAGAAAGGTGGATAGGGTGTTAATTAACCCTCATTGGGCTTCCTCTTTTCAGGAATCTTTTGTTGAGTTTATAGCCCCTGGTCCTTCTGATCACAGTATGACTTTGGTATGGACCTCCAAAGAGACTCAAATCAATAGACCAAAGCCATTTAATTTTTTTAATTTATGGACCAAGCACCCTAATTTCCTTGATGAAGTTCTTTACTCTTGGCAACAACTTACTCAAGGTAACCCTATGCAGAAATTATTCCTTAAACTTAAACGGTTAAAGCTTTGCCTAAAGAAAATTAACAAGGATAATTATAGTGACATCTTTGCAAGGGTAAGGCTTAAGAGAACAGAGCTGGAGCATATTCAAATATCAACTTTAAATGGGCAGAATTCTCTTGAAAAAGAATTAAATGTTCAAAAGGAGTTAATTGCTCTTGAGGAAACTGAGTTCATGTTTATAAAACAGAAAACAAAGGTGAGGTGGATTAAAGATGGAGACAAATGCACCAAACTCTTCCATACTGCTATTGCCTCAAAATTTAAAAGAGATATCATCAGGGTTCTTATTAACAATGAGGGTAAAAGATTGGAGCCTTATGAAGATATGTCTAATGAAATCATTGAATACTTCAAAAATCAATTAGGTGCTCCTGACCCTAATGTTCTTCCAACATATTCTGCCTTCTTGAAAAATATGCTCCAATTTTCTCTGCCTATTGAGACTGTAATTGATCTTATTAAAACAGTTGCTGCTAAAGAGATAAAAGAGGCTTTGTTTAGTCAAGGGAATGACAAAGCACCAGGCCCTGATGGATTCACACCTCTGTTATTCAAATATTCATTGTTTGTGGTAGGGGAGGATGTTACCAATGTTGTTTTCTATTTTTTTCAAGAGGCTAATATTCTTCTTGCTTTCAATTCCACCATTATTTCCTTAATTCCTAAAATCCAAAACCCAAGCAAAGTTAAAGATTACATACCCATCTCTTGTTGTTCAATGGTATACAAAATTATCACTAAAATTCTTGTTAAAAGACTAACTTTGTTGTTGCCTGATCTTATTACTCTCAACCAAACTGCTTTTGTGAAAGGAAGATCTTTAATTGACAATATCCTTCTTGCTCAAGAACTGGTGAAAGGCTATGGTAGGAAAAACATATATCCAAGGTCTGCTGTCAAAATTGATCTACAAAAAGCCTTTGATTCTCTTAACTGGGATTTCATCTCTTCTACTCTTAATGCCATTGGGCTACCTTCCACCTTCATATGATGGATTGAAGTTTGATAAATAGAAGCTAGATATTTCATTTCCTTTAATGGAACTTTGATAGGATATTTCAAAGGACAGAGAGGTATAAGACAAGGAGACCCATTATCTCAAATTCTTTTTGTGCTAGCTATGAACATTCTCTCTAATATCTTTAACCTTGCTACTCCTAGAGGTATTTTTGGATACCATCCAAAATGTAAAAAACTAGGTATTACCCATCTCTCTTTTGCTGATGATCTATTGATATTTTGCAAAGGAAATCTTGAGTCTATTGTTGGAGTTACCAGTGTTCTTAATCACTTTTATACCTTGTCTGGTCTCAATCTCAATGTCAGCAAGACATAATTCTATGATGCTGGTATTTATGCTAGAACTCTTGAATCTATCAAATCTGCCACTAGTTTTAAACAAGGTTTTCTGTCTGTAAGATATCTTGGTGTTCCTCTTGTTACTAGAAAACTCACTGAAAAATACTGCATTTTCTCCTTGATAATATCAAAACAAGACTTCACCACTAGTCTAGAAAATTCTTAAGCTATGTTGGGCGTCTTAAGCTTATTAAAACTGTCATTTATAGTTTTGCAAATTTTTGGTGTCAGCAGTTTCTACTTCCTCAGAAGGTTATTAAACGATTCGAACAGCTTTTCTCTCGTTTCCTTTGGAAATGATATGATAAAGATGCTAAAGGTGCAAGGATCAGCTGGAATAGATTATGCTGCCCCAAATCTGAAGGAGGTCTTGGATTGAAGGATCTTAACTCTTGGAATAAGGCTTGCATGATTCAACTCATTCGAAAAATTCCTGCAGGAAATTGATCTTTGTGGGTTGCTTGGATCCATTGTTATATTATTAAAAACAGTGAATTAAGTGCTATCAATGTAAGTTCTTCCTATAGCTGGAGCATCAAAAAAAATTAATCTTAGAAGAGAGGCCCTCCCACTTATCTCTGCTGGAATCACAACAACTAAAGCCATATAGGAAGAAATAAGGGAGCATAGAGACAAGGTTTCATGGCATAAAATGCTCTGGTTTCCCCTTCAAATTCCCAAACAAATCATGATTTCATGGATGATTATTCTTGACCGTCTTCCTACTCGAGATAGACTTTTCAAAATAGGAATTACTACTGATCGAATATGTGTCCTTTGTAATGAGGAAATCGAATCCAGAAACCATTTGTTTTTTTTACTATACTTATGCTTCTTCTGTCTGGAACTCTATCATGAATCTTACCGACATTCGTGATACTCATAGGACATGGGATTCAAGGATAGAATGTGCAACTCAAAAATGGAAAGGAAAATCCTTACTTTCCATCATCCTAAGAATAACTTGGAACGCTTTTAACTACTTGATTTGGGAGGAAAGAAACTGAAGGATTTTCAAAGGTGGATTAAGAACAACAGACCAAGTTCTTAAGTTTATCAAGGAGATTGTTTGTATTCAACTTAGTGATAAAGATATCAATAGAATTGATAATGTAAATTCTAATCTTTGTAATTATTAGGGTATAGACTAATAATTTTTTGTTGTAAATAGGATACCATCCGAGCATATCCAGTTATCCATGTTAGCCTGCTCAAGCCGTACCATCAGGATACCAAGGATCCAGATTGAGGCAAGTCACACCGAGCGCCAATCGGAGTAGCAGTCTCACATGACAAGGAGATCTAGGACATACAAGCGGAAAGAGTCATTCGACGACCAGGACACCGCCCAAGGCATGAGTACTTTATCCTATGGAAGGGACAACCCGAGTTCAAAGGGAGTTGGGAACATACCGAGGGACTTTGGCAATTCAAAAACAGAATAGACCAATATAATGCCAAACGAGTGACGAGGGCATCACCGGAACCAGTGGGGGAGAATGTCACGAACCAAATCCCACCACCGAGGTTAGTACATGAAAAGTAGCCCAAATGGGGGTTTGGACCTTCTAGAAGCCACAAAGACTTTGGTGGCATTTATATTTGTATAGATAATGCTCACTTGTTTTTGGTAGGTAGGATTTAATCTCGACTGTCGATGTAATTAGATCTTGGTCGTTCATTGAGGGGAGCTTTAGCTATAAATAGAGGCCTCCCCTCCTCATTT